CCAGTTCTTTAAAACAAGCTACTTAACCTATATAATATCAAATATTATAGAAATCATAACCCCAATCACGTTTGAAAAAAACTATTTCGAATATCAAGTTTAATAAGAAAAATAATTACAAATAGAATGGCAAATATAATCTCTTTAATATTGGTATCAGATAAGTACAAAAAAAATTAGCTTTAAAAGTTAAATTTAATTTAAATTTAATTTATAATTTTTTTTAAAACTTATAAATAATTTAGTAAAACTCTTGATATATCAGCAAACCAAATTCAACTAACATTCACCTAATTTGCACCTAATCTTGAACTAATTCAAAATGTTCTCAAGTATGATAAGAAGTTGCATTATCTGTGTATATTAAAATTTGAAAAGTTTTTTTTTTTTTTTTTTTTCTTATTATTAATTTAATTTGGTAATAGATTTGTTCTATAATAGATAATTATGAGGCTGAAGGCACAATTATATCAAAACAATATAGTGTCAAGAATACTCAAGATTCCAAAAAACAAGCTGTGCTCCTTGGTATTGTCTCTACAATTATAGCAGTTCTTTTAACTAAATATCTGAACTTGTTGGCTATGAATTCTACTAGTTATTGCAACAGTTTAAACTTTCCAGATACAGCCTTTATAGTTAGATTAGATGAGCCTTGTATCGAGTTATAGCAATATTTATAAGTAATAAGAAAACAATTCTAGTTGTTGATCTTATATTTGAGTTAGTAAATATTTTGTATTTCTAATAAATTTTGATAGACAATTTTATAACTAGTTGTTTGAAGTTTATTAAATATAGTATCAAGAATGATATCCTATTGAACTCTAAGTGGTTAGCTGTAGATAAATAGGATCTTTATCTAGCAGTAGCTAGAAAATATTTTCCTAATATGCAAGTAGTTTTGTATAATTGGCATGAAGATGATTTTTATTGTTTTCTTTGTTTTGGGGTTGTTAGTAAAAGCAAAAGTTATATGACAGATTGTAAATATTGTTATATAAGAATTTGA